GACTGAGCTCCACAGTGATTTGTGAGTTTGAGGAATAAACCTGAGATAATTACTACTGGAGTTGTCTCGCGTCTGTGCGGGAGAACCAAGCCATTACACAGTGGTGCTATAAATTATTATCCCACTCACTCACTCACTCTCACAAACAACCCCAGTCTGTAAGATTTACACAATTTGCTTATAATACCAGACGCTCTTGGACTTTATATGCCCAATCCTAAGTGTAGAGCCTCCAGCCACAGGAATTGTGTATCATGATAACGGGTCCTTTGTTCCTTAAGCCCACCAAACTGGGGAGGTGCATGCATTTATTGTGTTTTGATGCTGTTGGAATGTATCATTCTGACCCTATCTATAAAAAATAGAAACAATTTAAATACATTAATTATAAATAGTTATGGGAAGCATTTCCATTCCCCTTCACCCATTTTTCAGGATTGGTGTGCAACATCATTATCATCAATTATTCCTGCTGTGGAAATAACACCTAAGATTTCAAAGTCTGGAGGAAGAAAATCTGCCCCACTACTTTAGGAAAAGGATTCAAGAAACAAAGAGCTGCTTTGGAGAAGGCCTCACCCCTTCCTTCTTCCTGTCAGGAACTTCCTTCCATTTGTCTCCTCTCCATCTTTTCCTCTTTCTCCCTCCACCATCCATCTGTCCCTGTCCCCATCTCCTCTCAATTGGAACTCACCAGATTTCTCCAAGGGTCCTGGGACGGAATGCTCAGAGGTTGTGGGGAGGGATGCGGGAGAGAGCCTGACCAGGTCAACCGTTCATCTTCCTCCTTCCATCCTGGCCAGGGTTGCAGGTTCAGTCTCAGCTAGGTTTGCAGGTTCAGCTTCCTGAGGAGCGCAGAATCCAGAGCAAGTTGCAGCTTCCTGGGAGGGAGGGAAGAAGAAGCCAAGGGAGTCTGAGAGCCCCTGCAGGGATTCTCCTGCCCAAGACATTCTGCTGCCCCTGGAGAAGCCCCAATTGGGCACCCCCTAGCGGAAAAAACCGCTAATTGTATCCTTAAATTCTTCAGAGCACAAGGGGGTTTCTTCATTCCCGCAGCTCTAAAATTATACAAGGCCAAAACTTTGGCACAACACCTCTATGGTTCCTTTTTGGGCCCACCTTCCTCTGCTTTCTCCCCCCTTGAGAGAGTTCAATCTAGACTTCTTAGAGCTCTCCTCCAAGTCCCCAGATGTGTCTCAAACGCATGGGTTAGATTGGAAACGGGGATGATGAGAGTGGAGACTAGCATCTGCGTAATAGCAATCTACAAATGGCTGACATTGAACCTGCTCCCCCGAGGGATAGCCCCATTGATCCTCTGTGACCAATTCCAGTCGGGCTGGCAGACTGCAGTCCTGAACACCCTCCAGAAACTGGGTTTTGCCCCTCAAGCCCTTCTAAGTCTGGGCTTGGGCCAGGCAAAAGCTCCGTTCAGGCAAAGAATATTAGACACCGAGAGACAGCAGGACTGCAAGGTGCCCCGACTATAGAATTGGAGAAATCGAGAGATATATAGCCGCACCAGCAGCATATCTCTTCTTTCTCGTATCTAGGGATGCAAGAAGGGCCTTTACACTCGCCAGAAGCTCGGCTCTTCCCTCGCCGGTCCTGGATGAAGCCTTTAGAAGGGTCCCGTATGCTCAGAGACTTTGCACCTGTCCATTGGGAGAGATAGGAAGCCCAGAATACTTATTCTTTAAATGTCCCTTTTATGAAGAGGCACGTAGTAAGAGCATGGATCCCCTACTGGTGAGGCTAGCCGACCTCCCGCAAAAGCAAAAATTTGACCTTTTGCTGTTAGGCAAAGATCAGAAGATGACCTGGATGGTCGCCAGATTTTGTGTACATTTCTGTAGGCGCAGACCATCGCCCAACTCAAGATAGTCCGACATGAAAAGCCCCAAACACGGTTCCATGGGTGACTCTGAGACAACTCCCTGGGACAGTTTATTGTTGTACATCGTTTCTAAATTTAGCATTGAACATTGTTTTAATTGTCTGTTTTAACCATATTTGCACAGCAGTTTCTATTGTTGTGAGTGTCCTCTATTTAAGAGGCTTCTACTCTGCAGTCTCTTATAGTTGTTTTAACTGCGAGTCTTTTAGTTCTTATGCTCTTACAGTTGTTTTAACTATGTGTGTTTGTTTGTTTTTAGTTCTTATCTGTTTTAATTATCAGTTTTTTTATCCATCCATTATCCGTGTTTAATGTTGTATTTTATTTAAATGTTTTATCCTATGCGTTTCCATGTCCTAATTTGCTCTAACAATTATTGGTTAAAAAAATCCTAACTGCTATTTTATCTATACGCTTTATTAATCCTGGTCTGTGACAATAATAAAGTTCATTCACAAGCGGGCACCCCCTTCCCAAGAGCCTCCACCCATTTTCAAACACCTTTGGCAATTTCTTTCACCTGCCTGTCCCACCTCCCTTCCTAAGGCTGGCATGGTATGCACATTAGTGGCCTGAGAGTAGATCCCTTGGAACTTAAGAGTTAATCTGCAAAGGACTGCTCTGAATACATGGGTGGCCCTTGCATGGAGAAGAAGGAAGCCCCTTGCTTGCATCTGGACCCCCTGGGAGAAGCCGTGAATCCGCCCACTGCTCCCTCTGCCCTCGCTGCCGCCTCCGCTGTCCTCCTGCCCTGCAAAATCCCTTTGCTCTTGTTCTTCAGGGGAGAGAGGCAGAAAGAGCCTTCAAACCCATCCGTTTCCTCCACTGCTCCCCCTCCTCTCCTTTTGGGAAATAGGAACTTTGGTCAGGAGTAAACTACTTAGATGGCAAGTTCACAAGATAAGCACTTCAGAGAACTACTTGCTCCTACTATGTGTGTGTGTGTGTGTGTGTGTGTGTGTGTCTGTGTGTGTGTCTGTGTGTGTTTGGACCTAGAGGACAACTTACATGTTTACACCACGTGATTCCTTAAAGAGGGCAATTCTTTAAAACTGAAGGCCATTTCTACAAAATGGAAGACTTCCGAAGGCAGCCTTTTACAAGGAAATTTTTGATGGTTTTTATTTTGTTGGAAGCTACCCAGATGCGCAGAGGCAACCCAGGATGCAAGTAATAATAATAATAATAATAATAATAATAATAATAATAATAATTGCTTCCTAAGCCTGTCCTGGGACGAGGGTGGCACTGTGGGTTAACCACAGAGCCTAGGACTTGCTGATCAGAAGGTCGGCAGTTCGCATCCCTGCAACAGGGTGAGCTCCCGTTGCTCGGTCCCTGCTCCTGCCAACCTAGCAATTCGAAAGGACGTCAAAGTGCAAGTAGATAAATAGGTCCCGCTCTGGCGGGAAGGTAAACGGCGTTTCCGTGCGCTGCTCTGGTTCGCAAGAAGTGGCTTAGTCATGCTGGCCACATGACCCGGAAGGTGTACGCTGGCTCCCTCAGCCAATAAAGCGAGATGAGTGCCTCATCCCAAGAGTCGGTCACGATTGGACCTAATGGTCAGGGGTCCCTTTACCTTTTTAAGCCTGTGCTGCTAGGCATGCTGATCACAGACTCTGTCCAAACAACCCCTTTGAACGCAACAGGGCTTCCTATTTTTACTGCTATCAGTGGGATCAGTCAAACCACGGAGCCACTGATCAACCAGAGTTTCCTGTTTTGACCAAGCACAGTTTGAAGTTAGCTTAATATCCCAGCTTATTCCAAAGCTGGCAGCTGTAGTTTCCTGGTTTGGGCAAAATGGAAAGTTTGTTAGCTATGGCTCATAAGAGACTGTCTGGTTTCATCACAGTTCACCCTCAGGGCCGGCCAAATCATGCGGTAAGCTGGGACAATTAGGTCAGGAGGGAGATGCAGGGAGATATGGGACCAGCACGTTCCCAGCTCCCCTGTTTGTTAGCCTTGCTGCCAGTGCAGGACCACAGCTGGTATATTTGTGCAACTTCCCATTTAGAGTCCTTTTCTTTTGCCCTCTCTCACTAAAGGTTGGGTGGGAGTCCTTCCTGGAGTGATGCATTCTGGTTGTGGGGGCCAGGAGAATGCAGTGGCAGCTAGAGGTTTTTGTTTTAAACTTGGGACAACTTAGGCTTCAGTGTAACTTTGCTGCAGCAATGCATTAAAAACTGTGCTTATTTACTGTAACCCAGCTTTTCAGGAGGTCAGGAGGGAGATGCAGGGAGATATGGGACCAGCACGTTCCCAGCTCCCTGTTTGTTAGCCTTGCTGCCAGTGCAGGACCACAGCTGGTAAATTTGTGCAACTACCCATGCAGAGTCCTTCTCCTTTCCCCTCTCCCGCTAAAGGTTGGGTGGGGGTCCTTCCTGGAGTGACGCATTCTGTTTGTGGGGGCCAGGAGACTGTGGTGGCGGCGGCTAGAGTTTTTTGTTTTGAACTTGGGTCAACTTAGATTTTATCGGAATGTACCAAATATACATTAGTACAGCAATGTACTAAAAACTGTTCCTATTTGTAACCCAACTTTTCAGGCTGTGATTCAGTCATCTGAAAATGGACATTATCTTAATAAATTTTGGAACAATCTTGCAAGGTAGGCCAGTCATCTTTAATGCGACTACACATGGGATTTCTGAGGAATTTATTGGATTTCTGAGGCTGCGAGACGTGCCAAGATTTTTACCTCAGTGGGGAGAAAAGAGCATTTTGCAAATGGAGGCAATTTAGAGGAGGAAAACGGGGGTTGGTGGAAGGACCCCTCTTCTGACATAGCTTCTGCTCTGATGAAATTCAGAGTCCCCTGCAGTTGTTTAAGTAAAGTAAGAATAGCAGGAGATATGATCGCAAACCTCCCATGTATAAGAAAGTTTGGTCTAGCAAGCCTTTTAAAAGTGGATTAGAGAGAAAGTGCAGGAGGAGGAATATTCACCACCATAGCTAAACAGAACCTCCATGTCGAGAGGCAGTGGACCTGTGACCTCCAGGTGCTGGAAACCCAGGTGAGAGGAGGGCACTTACCTTTCCCAGAAGCCCCTCAGTGTCTGGGAGCAGGGTCTGGTCTGTCCCCCCTGCTCTCCCACTGGGCCACCGACTGGCATCCGCAGCTCCCCTGAAGGAGAGGACACCATCCCCGGAGTGGGGAGGACTGGGAGCCTGTGGGGTTTCCCACCCTGAACGAGGGGGCTGCATCGTCTTCAGGAAATCCTGCTTCTGGGCCTCCCAGTGCTGCTGTGACTGCTCCTCCTCTGGCTCCTGCTTAAGTTGACATGAATCTGCCCGAGGCAGAAGATCCCTGATGGTCCCAACTTGGCCGGCAGGAGGTTTCTTTCCTTTGCACTCCAGTCTCTCCCTCTCCCTGGGTCCGTGCTCTTCAATTTTTACATCACCCTCCTGGAAAAGAAATAAACACAAAGTAAAATAAAACTCAAGAATAAAAACTAAAGCACAATTTTTAACCATTTGCCAGTTTTTGAAATATATTATTACTCTTTCTATTTCTAATGTTCAGCCTATGAATGACAATCATTATGTCACCCAAACGGCTCCACCCAGGGAGGAGGGGAAGTTATCCAAAGACTGGGGGAAACATCAAGGTTTATGGAAGTACAAATAATATTTGGGGGTGGGGGAACCAAGGCAGTGGAAGGAAATCCAAAAACAACCCAGTGAGAGGACTGAGCATGTTCCGTGGACAGGGAATGCTGATCCTGGCTGCAACTTCTAGCATGTTGGAAAGGCAGCAACAGATCCTTGTATATGATTAAGGCTGCGACAGACCCACCTAACATTTAAAGTACATGGCTTCACCCAAGAAATCCTGCGAGCTGCATTTTGTGGAGGAGAGGAGACGTGAACCCGGTTTCCCAGATTACGAGACTACCGCTCTTAACCACTACACCACACTGGCTCTCACATGACTTCACCCAAGAAATCCTGCGAGCTGCAGTTGGTTAGGGGTGTTGAGAACTGTAGCAATAAACTACAGGTCCCGTGGTTCTCTGGGGGAAGCCACGTGCTTTAAATGTATGGGATCTGCACAGCCTAAGAAACAAACAGGCAAAAGGAATATTGGCCAACAAAATCAAACAACCCACTTCATGTGTCCTGCTAGTCCCTGCGGTTTCCATTTCCTTATCTGATCATAGGATGAAGATCTCTGTCTGTCCTGGAGAGAAAGATGCCTAAGGGGCCCATAGAGAGATATTTTCAACTCCAATTTCACCACAAACAAGCACAGTGCTGAAATGGGGTAAAAGCCCTTCTCTGGAAATAAATGATCCCTCTGGCTGCTCTTTAAAGAGGATTTCTAAAGAACAATCAGAAGGGTCTTTTTCCACAGATCTCATTGCTAATTCAGCAGAGTCTTCTGGTGCTCTTATTTCTCCTCCACCCCAGCACTGGGATTGGAAGGTCTAAACATGCTGATTGTGTTTGCAAGACTTGTATGTATGCTAGATGGCATGTCTGGTGAGTGTGTGCAGCACCTCTGGCGTGTGTGCATGTGACTTTATGGTCTGCATCTCTTTTCTGTGTGCGCATGCATGTGCATACATTGGCCACAAAGCTCACTGGAATGTGGCCTCCAGAAGCAATGCAGCTTTAAGCCCATAAATCTTCCGTTCCTCCTGTTCTATCAGAAAGAACAGTCTCAAATCTGAGACTATCAGGAGGAGAGAACTGGATCTACAGAGTTAATGCTCTCAAGATCCTATGGACACAAACTGCAATGAGATTTTCCATTAATTGCTTTGAGATTTTTTCCCCTTAAAAATATGAAGCAGCAGTGAAATGAAATGAGTAATAATCTGAACATGAATAATCTGAACATAGAATCCTCCTTTCCTCTGCCTTCTCAAATCTGGCACTCACTTCAACCCTCAGCCTTCATTTGCCTTACTGAGGAAGGTGGAAATAAAACAATTAATGAAACCAGGCTTAAGCCTGTCTCACTTATTTACACGCAGACACAAGAGGTCACTAACTTTGACAGCTTGGGAAAAGATCAGATGCATTCTCTGGAGTATAGATCTATCAGCTGTTTTAATTGCCATGACAGATCAACAGAACCTCCATGTGTAGGCACAGTGTACCTTGATTTGGGGCAGGCAAATTGGGCAACTTAAAGCTGGTCACCATCTTTATACGAAACCTTCCTCGCAGGGTTGCTGTGTGCGTGAAAGCAATATATCTTGTGGTGGGCTTCATGAGGGGAGTGTGGAACAGAAATCCATTTCCTTGCCAACGAACTCACACAGGGGAGAAACCATTTAGATGTATTGAATGTGGAAAGAGCTTCAGTGATAGGGGATCACTTAGAATACACCAACGAACTCATACAGGGGAGAAACCATTTAAATGTGTTGAATGTGGAAAGAGCTTCAGTCGAAATGATACACTTAGAAAACACCAACGAACTCATACAGGGGAGAAACAATTTAAATGTATTGAATGTGGAAAGAGCTTCAGTCGATATGAACACCTTAAAATACATCAACGAACTCACACAGGTGAGAAACCATTTAGATGTCCTGAATGTGGAAAGAGCTTCAGTGAAAGTGGAAACCTTAGAAGACACCAACGAACTCACACAGGGGAGAAACCATTTGAATGTTTTGAGTGTAGAAAGAGCTTCAGTGAAAGTGGAGAACTTAGAATACACCAACGAACTCACACAGGGGAGAAACCATTTAGATGTATTGAATGTGGAAAGAGTTTTAGCATAAGCGGAGCACTTAGAATGCACCAACGAACTCATACAGGGGGAAACCATTTAAATGTGTTGAATGTGGAAAGAGCTTCAGTCGAAATGATACACTTAGAATGCACCAACGAACTCATACAGGGGAGAAACCATTTAAATGTGTTGAATGTGGAAAGAGCTTCAGTGAAAGTGGAGCACTTAGAAGACATCAACGAACTCACACAGAGGAAAAATCACAGATACTTTAATAAACCGTATAGGTGTTCTTTACCTTTCCCTCTATGCTTCCTTGCAATACTGATAAAATCAAACCACGCCAATGCTTTCAGCCGCAGAAGAGGAGCTCTCCTTGGTGTCAGGGGAGGGGTCCAAGGGAGCATCTGAAGCCCTGCCATTCCTTCTGTCCCTGGCCCCTTCCCCTCCTCTCTCTGCCATCCCAGGGCCACTCTTGACTCCACAGCAGGAGACTGGATCTGTCCGTGATGGTGAGATGTCCTGGGTGGTTGAAGGACCACTTCCTGTTTCCTGGAGCTCCATCCTGCCTTCTCATGCAAGGTGGAGTCATGAAGCAGGTGAAGGCTGAGCACACCTAAGGGTGGCGCGGGGGGTGGGTGGGATTCTGCTTAACCTTTCCCTGTCTGCTCCTTTTTTGGATCCAAATCCCCACACAAAAAGGGGCAGTGTGAGGGCGCAATCAGTGTTATGGAGCTGCACTGAAAATCATTTCTTTGTGACTGTAAGAGGCCCTTCTCAAAAAAACAAGCATCAAGAGAATTTAAGCTATAGAATTTAAAACAAACAGATAATTACAAAAAAAGAAAGCAGTCTGGTGCCACATTGCGTAGGAGTTACTTTAGCACACTGTACCTGCGGCTTCCTTTGAAAAGAGCTCAGAAACTTCAATGGCTCAAAGAGCTGCAAACACTTTGCTGACCAGGGCTGGCTATAGGCAGCATAGGACTCCCATGTTAGAACAGCTCCGTCTGCCTAATTGTCTGTTTCTGGACACAATCAATGTGTCCACAAGAAGAGGAAGATAGATTTGAGGAAGGCCAACCTGCAGAGGCACTACAAGTCGAAGCACATCCAGTACCAGGAGTTCCAAGGGCAGCTGCACCAGGAGAAGGTCAAGGCGCTGAAAACGGACCTGTTGGGTAACCTGTGGCCCCTCCAGATGATGTGAAATTGCAACTCACGTCTTCTTTAGCCATTGGCCACGCTGGCTGGGGCTCATGGGAGCTGGAGTCCAAGGATCTAGGTCCACAAATGCCAGGGACATTTCAAATCCCTCCTCAGTCGTGAAGCCGATTGGGCAACTTAAAGCTGGTCACCATCTTTATACGAAACCTTCCTCGCAGGGTTGCTGTGTGCGTGAAAGCAATATATCTTGTGGTGGGCTTCATGAGGGGAGTGTGGAACAGAAATGTAATTCATAGGTAAGAAGACAGGAAATAGTTCTGAATCTGACTGAAAATAAAGGATTCTTTGTCTCCAAATTGCATATAGCAAGCACCTGTGTTGTGGAACTCTAGCTGAAGTTTCAGCATCTGGTTCCTCAGCACTCTGCACTCTCTCTCTGGAAACCTCCAGCTGTCAGGTGACAGGAACCAGCCAATGCCTCCCAGTTCAGAAACAGTCTGCCAAGAGCTGAGATTGGAAGTGGACAACCAAGGAAACTTAGGGGAGCATTTTCATTTCCATGCTTATGAATATTGATTTGAATCAATTCATCTGATGTGTTCAAAATAGTAGAGAAAATTTATGGTTGACACCACCTTGGGATAGTTTTGACAGGAATTCAGGGAACTAGGAATATTTTTAGTTCCATCAGGGTTGATGGATCAGCAAATAGCTAGAGAGAATTAAGGGGTGGGGGCGGGAATCAGGCCTTGTTTCTCATGTGACAGATAACCGATTCCACAGGTCTTAAATGTGACCATTTGCGACACAAGATCTACCCACCAGGGAAGAATGGCAGATGAAGGTGATGGACTATATGGAACTGGCGGAAATGACTGGCAGGATCCGAGACCAGGGAGAAGAGTCGGTGGAAGAAGATTGGAAGAAATTTAAAGACTATTTACAGAAACATTGTAAAATTAATGAATGTTAGAAAGATATTGGAATGAACTTACGTGGTTTTAGCAGAAATGTTATAAAGGATTAGGAAAAAATAGACTGTTAATTGGTGAAACGAGGGAAAGTAAAGTTATATCATATTAAGATAAATTACAGGGCAAAAATTGGAAAAGATGGAAAGGATTTGCTGAAATAGTTAACCGAACTAGAATACAAAAAAGGGAGGTGTGAGGAGGTCAAGAAAACAAGCTAACGAATGATAAGTTATGGGAAGATTCGATGTGTTATTTTTTTAATGAACTTTTTTTCTGTTTTTGTATTTTCTTTTTTTTTCTTTTCCTATTATGATGTGTTGTTTTTGATGTTGTTTAATATGATGTTATTATTTTTTCTTTTTGTAACCTTTAAAACCTTAATAAATATTATTAAAAATAAATAAATAAATGTGACCGTTTGCTGCCTCCCAAAATTATGCTTAAGCCTTTCCCCTCCCCCCCAAAAAACAACAACAACTCAAACATGGTAGCTGGTCTTGTCAAACGGGCCAATATAAGGTTCATTTGGCAAGTTTGTTGTTGTTTAGTCGTTTATTTGTGTCCGACTCTTCATGACCCCATGGACCAGAGCACGCCAGGCACTCCTGTCTTCTACTGCCTCCTGCACCTTGGTCAAACTCATGTTCGTAGCTTTGAGGACACTGTCCAACCATCTCGTCCTCTGTCGTCCCCTTCTCCGTGTGCCCTCCATCTTTCCCAACATCAGGGGGGTCTTTTCCAAGGAGCCTTCTCTTCCCATGAGGTGGGCAAAGTATTGAAACCTCAGCTTCAGTATGTGTCTTTCCAGTGAGCACTCAGGGCTGATCTCCTTCAGAATGGATAGGTTTGATCTTCTTGCAGTCCATTGGACTCTCAAGAGTCTCCTCCAGCACCATAATTCTTTTTTTTTAATAAATAATATTTATTAAAGTTTCAAAGAATTACAAAAAGAAAAAGAAAACAGAAAAAAACAAAGTACAGAAAAATAAAAACAATTAAAAACAAATCAATCTTTACATGTCTTGTCTTTCATTTACTTGTTTCCGTGACCTCCTCACACCTCCCTTTTTTGTATTCTAGTTCAATTAGTTACTTCAGCAAATCCTTTCCATTTTTGCTTTTATCTTAATGATTTATCTTAATATATTGTAACTTTACATTCTCACCTATTCATGATCTGTTTTTTTTAAATGATATTTTATTAAGTTTTAAGAATAACAACAAACAGAAAAAGGAAAAAACACATAGACAAAATTATAAAATTATAAAATACAAAAAATACAAAAGTTTAACTTAGAAAAGAAAGAAAAAAGAAAAAGAAAGAAAAAAGCACATTAAAAAAACACCACAAAAATCCCTCTTTTTAATTCCTCATCTTTGATTCACTTATTTTCCTGACTTCCTCACGTCTCCCTTTTTTGTATCCCTTTTGAAAATTAGTTCAGCATATTCATATCCAATTAATTTATCTATTATCAATCCAATCTTATTTTTTACCTTGTTGCTAGAACCCCTTCAGTTCATTTCAATGCCATTAACATTCAAAAATTTTACAATGTTTCTGTAAATAAATTTTAAATTTCCTCCAATCTTCTTCCACCAACTCTTCTCCCTGGTCTCGGATTCTGCCAATCATTTCCGCCATTTCCATGTAGTCCATTACTTGCATCTGAATTTTACCTAATTCTATAACATTACTGCTAAAACCGCATAACTTCATTCCAGCATCCTTCTAACATTCCTTAATTTTACAATGTTTCTGTAGATAGTCTTTAAATTTCTTCCAATCTTCTTCTGCCGACTCTTCTCCCTGGTCTCGGATTCTGCCAGTCATTTCCGCCAGTTCCATGTACTCCATCACCTTCATCTGCCATTCTTCCCGGGTGGGTAGATCTTGTGTCTTCCAATACTTTGCGATAAGTATTCTTGCTGCTGTTGTAGCATACATTAAAAAATTTCTATCCTTCTTTAACACCAACTGGCCGACCATGCCCAGGAGAAAGGCCTCTGGTTTCTTCAGAAAGGTATATTAAAATACCTTTTCATTTCATTATAAATCATCTCCCAGAAAGCCTTAATCCTTGGGCACGTCCACCAAAGGTGAAAGAATGTACCTTCAGTCTCTTTACATTTCCAACATTTATTGTCAGGCAAATGATATATTTTTGCGTGCCTAACTGGTGTCATGTACCACCTGTATATCATTTTCATAATATTCTCTCTTAAGGCATTAATAGAGCAACTATTACACGTGGATTTGGAGAAACCACTGAGGTTGGAGACAGACGCATCAGACAGAGCCATCGGGGCTGTTCTTTTGCAGTCAGGATTGGGCAAGCAAGAATGGAAACCGTGTGCCTTTTTCTCGAGGAAGCTGAGCAAGTCGGAACAAAACTACACCGTGTACGACCGAGAACTGCTCGCAATCTACGCTGCCTTTCGTCGGTGGCGCCATCTGCTGATAGGGGCGCAGCGCAAGATCCAGGTTTGTACAGATCACAAGAACTTGGAATACTGGAGGACAGCACGAGTGCTCAACCAGAGACAGATTCGCTGGGCGCAGGAATTCTCCAAGTTTTCTTTTGAAATCCGGTATGTGCCAGGAGAGCAAAACGTGAGAGCAGATGCTCTTTCGCGAAAACCAGAGTACATCGAAGGAGAGGGGCCGCCGGAGACACGACACGTCATACCTGAGGACCGATGGGTGTGTGGGGGAACTCTAGTGGGCATGAGGGAACTGGCAGGGCTCACTAGGAACGATGAATTCGCCCGAACAAAAATCGGGGAACTCCAAAATGGGAGGGGAGCACCAGAGGGGTTTGAAGAGAAGGAAGGGGTGTTGTACTATAGGGGGGAGATGTACGTACCGGGGGAAGTTCTAAGAAGAAGGGTACTCAAACTACATGACACCCCCACAGCGGGACACTTTGGACAACACAAAACTATGATGTTGGTGACCAGACAATTCTGGTGGCCAAGGGTGAGGGAAGATGTACGAGAATATGTACGAGGGTGCGACTGCTGCCAAAGGGCCAAAGGGGAACGCACAGTACCAGCGGGTTTACTGGAACCCTTACCCACACCAAACAAACCCTGGGAGGTGGTGTCTATTGATTTTATGACGGATTTGCCCAAATCAAGGGGGAAAACAGCAGTAATGGTAGTAGTCGACTTGCTAACCAAAATGTGCCATTTCATACCCTGCTCACACGCGCTGACGGCAGAAGAAACGGCACGGTTGTTTGTAGAGCACATTTTTAGGTTGCATGGCGCCCCCTTGAGGGTACTCTCCGACCGCGGAAAACAATTTACTTCCCGGTTCTGGAG